TGTGGTATCGCTAATACTTCTTGACCATAGCCTGCTCAGAATAAGACGACCGTCTACGCGTACAGTAGACTGCAGCCTCTCAAGAGGCGAGAACAACCCTCGCAGGCATTTAAGTAGCTTGGATACTTCTACTGGCCTTTCTTATGCTTCCAAAACTTGGTTTACGCGTCTTAAAGAGGTTTGAGTAAAAGCTCACGTCGCCGTAATCCATTTACCGCAAACAAGATCAGCATTCTTAACGTTTGTAAACCAATCAGAATGCACTAATCCCAAAAAGGTGAGGGCGACTAAGCGGGTTGGGGGGCTACTGCTGATGTTGGGCACTGACCGCATCGAGGAGACGAGGAAGGGTTGGGAGAGTTGAACTGCGATGCAGCCGTTGCCCAATTGGTGGCAGGTGAAGCCGTAGTTGAGGTTGTAGACCAGAACGTCCCCGTCGATGAGGGAGTTTCGAAGACGGCTGACACCCTCGAGGACGGTGGCACCCAGCTGAACTGTTGCAACATTATTCCGGGGAATCTGCGAGCAAGAGAAAAGCACAAAATTAAACTGGCTGGAGAAATGTTGCTAAACAGCTCTCATTAAAGTCCATTATGGAGTTAGCGCTTGCCTGCTATTGACGCAACTATCACAGCAATTAACATGAGTTGAAGCAGATAGTATTATCGGCAAAGACAAGAGCGACTGGAATGGCCATTTCTGGCTTACTAGACGTCATCAGCCAGTCATACCCAGACAGGAGTGGCGTCCCACCCGAGCCTCGAACTCGCTACCTCTTGGATCAGTCATGTCGAGTTTATTAAGGGAAATATAGGCAAACGCCTTTGAATTCCCTATTGGTACACAGTAGCTAAGAAATGCATCGGCACAGCCGAACATCTCAATGAAGTCGTTTACATAATTGTAGGCGACTACTTACTTGTTCCAAGTAATATAATCACATGTGATGCCGGTTAACATGGACCAGCAGGTGTAACTGGACAAAAGAGCAGACAGCGCAAAAACTCCTAAGGCATTACTCAGAATTCAAAAGTGGAATGTCATTTGTGTTTTTTTAGGAGAAAAACTGTCACCCCACCGCTAACGGAACTCATCTGTTCCGCTCTGCCTGGGGTCTCGCCAAAGGCCCTGACAGCCATAGCAGCTGGTGGTGGCTCATAAGCCAACGACGACTTAA